ACGCACACGCACGCACGCACGCACGCACGCACGCACGCACGCACGCACGCATGCACGCACGCACGCACGCACGCACCACGCACGCACGCACGCACCGCACACACACACACACACACACACACACACACACACACACACACATACACACAGAAATGCACAAAGCGCACAATACTGTCATGCGTTGCTAGATTATGTCTATATGCTACTAATGTCTATTTTTAGCATTTTCATTCATTTCATTTCATTCAAAGTTATTTTTGGCTTGTATATTAAACGTTTCTTTAATTTAATGTACGGGATTGTTTAGTACTTGTAGCCATGAGATTACACAGATACACTTTTTTATATTTAAAAGCAAATTACAAAATTTAAGCAATTACCAAAATAACTTTTCGGTTTCAAGTATAATAACGTGCCGGATGGCCCTTGGGAAAAAAAAGTGTATTACTTAAAACATGTTTTGTAATCGATACTAACACAATTTCTAAGAATTAATAAAACTTCAAATGAAAAGATAAAGAGAAAAAAAAGAAAAAGACAATTTTAAAACTCCAACATAATAGAAAAATCACACGTTGTATTACAAATTACCATTTTTTATCAACTTCACGTTTCAAGAAGGATCCAATTAGTAAGTCATAATACTTTCAGTATTAATTCAGAATATACTTTAATCTGCCTTAATTATTGTTACTAAGAGACAGATGTTTTACTTATCGCATAATAATTGCTTGACTTTAATCTTAATCAGTGGAAACAAGTCAACTCGCAGTTACTAAAAAAAACACTAGAGTCCTCATAATACCAGTGGTATTTTTGGGTAGATGTATTTTACTTACAATAAGGATTCCTTGTAATATTACCGATTTAACTTGCCATAAATTCGAGACGTACGTAAAACATTTTTTAGTAGAAAGGTTATTTTTCACAACTCACAAAGTCTTCAACATTTTTTTAACATTTTTAAAACCAGTTTTTTATATAAAAATATTTTGATCTTGAAATTATAATTTATCGATGTGCTATAACATTGCCTTTTTTAACTATTTTCCAGACAAACTAGTTTTATTCTCTATAGAACTGCATTAGCAACACCTGAGTAAATAAATTGTGAAAGTAGAATTACTTTTTATTTTAAAATAAATTAGCGACTCAACCCGGCTTCGCACAGGTGATATCTTTTAAAAGGGTTTGTATTAGTGATTTGCAAGCAAATAAAAGAGTACCACAGATTACAAAGCATTGGAACTAATACTTTTTCGTTAAATTTCCAAAACTCTTTAATAACTACTATTTCATTAAAATTCACCCCAGTACAGAGTAATGTTTTAAGGGACGCGGTTTAAGGGACGGACTAGGGTTGAAATAAGGCGTGTTAGCTCATTAAATTACGTTCAGTTTGGGATAGTTGAGGAGTTAATTAACGTTTTTGAAGTGAAGAATAGAAATTTAAACCAATTCCTCCGTCTGTTTGCTATATAGATGCTTTTAAGCTAGATGTGATTTCAAACGAATATCACCTTTACTCTGCTCTGACTTTGAACTTGTAGAACAATGATTTTTCTTGCCTTTTAATTCATTTTAGTGACTTTAATGAGCTTTAATTTATGTTATATGATCGCGATCAAATAGAGCTATTGCTTTTAAATATCGAATATTTTGTAAATTACCTTTTTTGATGGATTTTTTTATAATATTAAATTTGTCATGAAAAAGAAATTATCGAGCATGCAGCTCATTTGATCGTAAGTGGATTCTGCGACATCAATCCTCGATATAGAATCGAAAGGCGGGTTATGCCTCCTAATAACTAAACCCCTCGTTACCATTTAAAATGGTTTCCGGCTCTCGTCAATCACTACGAAACACGATATAATTAACTGATATTTCACATTAGTATCATGTGCGAACGTAATCCTTTCCCGGTCAAGCTGAACTATTCGAGCTGCAGCCATAATACGCTTCAGCGTAGCTTCACAAAAAATATTCTGTTTTTTTTAATCTAACACTTAAAAATGAGTTTTTATACTAGAAAGGAAAGAATTTCAGCTGATAAAATACAGATTAGAATATATATATATATATTTTTTTTTTTTTTTATATATATACAATTACGCTGGACTGGCTATACACCGTGACATGATGAGGCAATTTGATTTGCGCCATTTCTAATAATAGGAATCAGACAGTGCGACAAAATATATCGATAAAAATTCTATACCCCACCTATACCTAAATAAATAGAATGGACTCTATGGATAGATGGACTCTACCCATAACGTCCATTCTATCTATGTATCATATTAATATAATGCCATTATCATTCATCATCATTAAAGCCCTTCACAAGTCCACTGCCGAACATGGGCCTCCCCCAAGGAATGCCACAAAACACGGTTCTGAGCCACCTGCACCCATCAACTTCCTGTATGTCTTACCAGGTTTTCACTCCATCCAGTGGGGGAACTTCCGATACTTCACCTGCCAGAACGAGGCTGCCACTCAAGAACCTTTTTTCCCCATCGGTTATTGGTTCTTCAAGCTATGTGGCTGGTTAATTGCCACTTCAGTTTACTAATCCGTTGGGTGATGTCGGTTACTCTGGTTCTACTGCCGATATCCTCCTTCTAAATTTTATCCTCCTAAGTTTCCATTTTCGGCAGTGCCACGTATTCTAGGGGGGCTTGACATATCGACACTTAATTGCCCTTGTCGGTGGATGTTGCGCAAGAAGAAGCTTCCAAAAACCGTGATTGTAAGCGATGGCTAGAATTTGTAAATAAGGTAAATAAACTAAAGCAGAGCCACTACGAAGTTAAAGCACAAATTAAATCCTGAGACTCGAGAGAGAATTAAATCCCTAGACTCGCACTCACTAAAACCCCATGGTGTTCAACCTCCGCCGCAAATTGTCAGGCCTACGGAAACGCTTTCATGTACACCCGTGGCCCCTCCGGCGCCAGCCGCCCAATGCCATCCCCTCCTTAGTTGCTGACTTCTCCTCCCATTTTTACTTCTTAGATAAGGCGTACCAGAAACACAAGATACACTCCCCTTTACTGCCTCTGATTCCACCTGCACTACGGATTTCTCGAGTCCGATATGTGAATGGAGCCAAGAAAAAACGAGCACTTGGAAGTATCAAGTGGTGCAGCCTCACCAAAGTCTCGAAGGAGAGTCGAGTGGCATCGCATCGCCAATCTTCATACCAACACTCCTCTTCCCAAACGACTCCACCACGACTACAGCGGTACAGGGAGAGAAATCAACACACATCCAACGTGGCTCGACGTCATCAGGCGACCTTTCGACACTTGGCTACGGCCCTTGAGTTTGTGAAATGAGGAAAGAAGAAATAAAAAAAACATTCGAAATAACAATTTAATACTATTATATTATTGGTACTGGTACTATCAGAAAATATTGTCGGAATACTGGACTTTTTCAAAGTGGTGCAGTTCTCATGTCTAATAAAACAGTTTGTTTCTGACGCCAATTCACAATATTTATGCTTTTAAGCTATAATTTTAGTCTAGGTTCAGTTGGAAACCTGTTAATTAATAAATATTTGATAATCATCTGTTGTTGACGACTTTATTTGTTAACAGATATGGGTAGGAAAGAACATCGATAAGTATTATAGACAAGGAACTTGAATGTGTTGTTTATCAAAAATCACTAATATACAGCAAAACATGTTGGTATATATGATATTAAGATTAGTAACAAATTTTTAAGGATTTATATTAGCAAATAGTTTTAATATGTTTAATATTAGCTGCAAATTCACTTACTTGTGCAATGTTATACCACTTCCCTTTTGGTAACGAGTTTTACAGATTACGCACACTCTCATTATTATTAAAAATAATTCTTATTATGTAACTAATGTTATAAACAATCAAACAACATAAAATACTTTCGTTTTTTTAGTTTAAAAGTTCAAAATACAGATTTTTTAAATAAATCAATTTAAATAAGACAACAGACTTTGGCATATTATGTCAATTTTAGTTCCCAAGACAACCGTTAGGGTTGCTTCAAATTGGCACAGAATTTTGTATGTAAATTTATATTATAGCCAGTACCCAGCGTACTTGTAGTTATAGAGGTCAGTGCCCTCAATTATTACTTTAACATTTTTGACGTGCTATGGTGGCTAGGTATAATGAATTGTTATTCTATTATGTCAATGTCAAGCATTAGCAGAATCGATTTATTCTCGAATTGTCGTATTGATTGATTGTGAGTGTGCATTCCAAATACCACTAAAGTAATATGATTAAAGCCAAGATTACCAACCAACTCACGGTAAGAAATATGTTTTAAACTGGTTGTATTACAAAAATACAAAATAAAACGTAATTCTATTTATTATTATAAATCACTATTACAAGTATTCTATTAATAGTAGTACAAAAACAGATACTTTTTATTCAATATAGATTATAAATAATAATAATAATAAGGCGTAGGGACGTGACGTCCCAATCGCCCACTGACGTAATGGTTATGTGACAAAACCGCTACGTCAGCGCAGTCAGTCAGCACCTTGCGAAGAGCTGTTAATGCCGTGCCTCGGCAAAAATTGAAGATGTAAAGGCCCGCTTGTGCACATGGCCTCACCATGAAACGGCGCTGGGTCTGGGCGTCTCCCGCTAAATGACGCCTTCAAAAATGGATGATGGAATTAAATAGAACGTGCAAAGGGCCGCTACCTGGAGGTCACCAGGGCGCGTCTGGAGCTGGCGCTGGACGCGATAGCATGAGAACCACCAGCCTAGCGCGAGGTGCTGCACGACCACCCAGCAGCCCTTCGCATCCATTATCCCCACCAGCTGGCTTGGTGTCGACAGGGTCTTCGCGGGCCCAGCAATCGGCACTCACCACTGGTGGAGTACACCGCATGCGTTGGACAACCCAAATGAACAGCAACGCATTGCGGGCGTATTTTAGGGCAAAAGGGGGGAGAAACTGAAGGTTTTGCGTATCTGGCAAGGATGCATCGACTTTTTGCTGAGCTGGAGCCATCTGTAACCGTCACCGAGCAAAACATGGCAGACCGAGTTCGGTATATCTTGCGCTCAAATACTTTTGATGTCACCGAACTCGAACGGCTAAGAAGTGAGGCTGTTCCTTCATCGAGTGAAAATGCTGCGGCTGAGGATGCGGCGCCACAACTTGCTGAGAAAACGGCAAACGTGGATTCCGCCGTGAATACCCCAGTTGTGGTTGACGATGATAGAACAGTCGCCCAGGAACTGGAACTAGAGCAAATGAGGAGTAGATTGGAAGAGGCGATTGTGGAAACGCACAGTACGCCTCTCGAAAATCGACCGTGACTTCCCCGCATAGCCCTAAGCAAGCGGAATCGGGCTGTCGTGAGGGCTCTGAACCCAATTCTGGCTACCTATTTGCAAGCCAACCGGGACCTTTGCGAGACGGACTTAATTATTTTTGGCACCGCACTGGCAGTCTGCGACAAAGTAGTGCAAAGGCTAGGGCCCTCATCGGCAGACTGATATGCTTCAGGTCAGGCAACACCAGGCCAAGGATTGTGCGCACCGTCAGGATGGCGTTTGCTGGAACAAATGTTAGTTTGTCCCAGCCGGATATAATGCAAAAACTGACGGAGCGCGTAGATGACCTGAAGCAAAGAATCGCTGCTTGGTGAAAGCGGATTCGGCAATATACCGAGAGGTCGACATGTTTTAACCAGAATCTTCTCCTCCAGAGTGATCAGAAGAGGCTCTATGAATCATTGGAGCGACCAATGGCAAGTGAAATGGGCCCAGCACCGAATCAGATCGACTCTGTAACATTCTGGCGCGGTCTGTGGTCAGAGCCCGTAAACCACAGCGAGGGCTATTGGACGAAAGTTGTGGCGAGTCAGTGTACGAGTATAACGCCCATGGACCCCGTCATTATAACGCCAGATAACGTAGCTGAGGCGGTCCGTAGAGCCCCGAACTGGAAAAGTCCAGGACTCGACGGGCTGCATCACTACTGGCTGAAAGGGTTCATAGTGTGTCACGCTGTGCTCGCCCGACAGTTTCAAGACGCTCTCAACCAGAAGTCGCTCCCAAGCCTCTTCACTAATGGGATCACTCATTTGGTTCCTAAAGATCAGCGTGCCACAGACCCGAGCAAATACCGCCCCATCACCGATCGACAAGACACTAACATCCATTTTGAGCGCGAGAATCACTCGTCATCTGGACTCAAATCAGGTGATGTCGCGCGCGCAAAATGGATGTCGGGGCGGCGGTCGTCAAACCAAGGAACCACTCCTCATTGACGCGATCATTGGCAAAGTGGTGAAACGCAACCGTCGGAACTTCTCCTCCGCCTGGAAAGATTACAGAAAGGCATTTGACTCGGTGCCCCATACATGGTTAAAAAGAGATCTCGAGCTGTACAAGATTGTTTGTACAGTTGGAGACTTCCGCGAGCAGTGTATGGGGCAGTGGAGTACGATCCTCTGTCATCTAGGCGAGCGGATGGCGGCTACGGAAAGCCGCATAAGGATAAGAAGGGGTATATTCCAGGGCAATTGTCTGAGTCCAATCTGATTCTTCCTCTCTTTAAAGTCTCTCAGTACTTTACTGGATTGCTCCGAGAGGGGATTTCAGCTTCGGAAAGGAGGTACAAATGTGAACCACCTTTTCCATATGGATGACCTCAAATTATTCGCCTCCAGTCGCGACTCCATCTTATGGAATTGCTAAACATCACTTGTGAATTTAGCAATTCTATTAGAATGGAGCTGGGGACGGATAAGTGTGCGGTGCTCCATGTTGAAAGGGGAAAAGTTGTTAACTCTGAGGGCATAGACTTATCTATGCCCGTCAACTTAAAGACCTTTTCCGAGGCTGAAACGTACCGATACCTGGGTATGTCACAGAACATCGGTATCGATGAGGCTGCTATGAAACAGTCAGTGCGACGTGTTTTATGCACGCTTGACCAAAGTGCTTAACAGCCTTTTGTCCGGTGTGAATAAGACACATGCATATAACGGTTGGGTCATGCCTGTCCTCATGTAAACCTTTGGCATACTCTGGTGGAGTCAGACTGAACTTAACGCCCTGGATAGAAAAGTTAGCACTACAATGTCGTCCCATAGAACGCATCATCCGAGATCTTTGGTAATGAGGCTGAACTTGCCGCGAAAGCATGGTGTGCGTGGCTTTTTGAGCGCACTCACCATGCATAATCGCGAAGTGTGCAGCCTCCGTCATTACTTCCTGGCGAGATCGGATGATCCATTCTATAATGGCGTAATTTCTAGTGATAAAAGATTTACCCCTCTATCCTTAGCCAACGAGCAATGGCAAGACTCGGCAGTACAGAACATTTCCGACCGGGAGACCTTATGGAAGGATAAGAGCTCCACGGGAGGTACTACAGTGCTCTACCGAGCCCCACGTAGATACAGCCGCCTCCCTCCACTGGCTACGTTTCAGTGACCTCTTCGGGGAAACCGAGGGTTTTGTCTGTGCAATACAGGATCAGGTTATTAAGACCAACAACTATCGGAGATACATCCTAAGGGATGGCACCGTCGATGTCTGTCGAGCTTGTCGCCATCCCGGTGAGTCACTTAAGCATGTTATCTCCCGTTGTTCGGCTCTTTCAAGTCTGAGTACTTGCACAGACACAACCTAGTAGCCAGAATTCCACACCAGGAGCTCGCTCTGAAATACGGTCTCGTGGGCCGAAAATTGCCGTATTACTAGTACTTGCCGGAAGCCGTGCTCGAAAATGACCGCGCTAGGCTCTACTGGGACCGGGTCATCATCACAGACAGGACTATTCTTGCGAATAAGCCTGATATTGTGCGGATGGACCGGGCACAGTCAAGGATATTTTTGGTCGACATTACCATTCCGTATGACGAGAACGTCGTAAAATCCGAAACATATAAACGAACAAAATATCTAGACATGGCTCACGAGGTGACCGACATGTGAGGTGGTCTGCCGACTGAAATTATTCCTGTAGTCGTTTCTGCAAACGGGCTAATCCCAGTCAGCCTCTCGGGTCATCTGAGGAGGCTGGGACTCTGAGACGGACCGCTCCAGGCTCAAATGCAGAAGGCGGTGCTCCTCGATACCGCCCGCATCGTCCGCCGGTTTCTCTCCCTTACCCCCCGACCCTCGGCCGTTTGGTCTCCCCTGCCGCGGGCCTCCATCTGGTTGGGATTTTATTTATTTATGTATTATTTATTTATTTTTGCTGGTATATGAAATATATATTTATGTATATTTATCATTTCCTTTTATATATTTATTCAGCCCAACCCGATGAGGATACACTACTAATACCACAAGTATTAAGTGTAAGTTTATTAGTAACAATTTTACTTAATAACTATATTAGTAATGTTAGTATTTATGTCTACGTTATAATTATATATACATACAAAATTCATTAACATTTTAGTTCTATTGCCAGCTCTACTCAGTGTCGCTGAAAGTGGCAATGTAGTCTCGCCGCGATCATTTTTAAAATGCTATTGTTACTGTTTCGCAGAAGCTGTAACATTGAGGCTGATTTCTTTTGCATAACAGCATGAAATCCATCAGTCCTATCATCCGCGAACATTTTCGAAGCACTACACTATGGCCATGGCCATGGCATCCTAATAGAATCCTAAAAGTGTTATTGTATTGTATTCCAAATCCGCTGCAAGGTCGTCGCCTGTATGATACCTACAGGCCACTCGAGTAAAAAGATTGGCAAAATGCTTTGAAAAGACTAACTTTTACGTCATCTGTACATCGAGCAAACCTGCGGGCAAGCATATTGCTCCTAACTGCCAGCGTCCTACGCTCCCTCTCTATATCACAATCATTGCTTAAATTGCTCGTTATAATGTGACCGAGATTCATAAAAGTATTAACAATATTTAGGGCTACAACATTGAGGTATACCGGAGGAACACAGCGCGGCGGTTGTTTCAGTGCTGTAAAAACAAGAATTTCACTCTTTTTCGAGTTGTACTTCAAGCCGTGGTCCTCTGCATATTTCTCGCAAATTGACAATAATTTTCTTAACATATTTTCTTGATGCTTTATTCTTCCATTGCCGGATTTGGAATGTTTTAGCACAAAAAACGCCTCTTTTTTATAGGCAGCTGTGACCAATCAAAATTAATAAAATTTGCATACGGCACTAATGAATTTGCACACGGCACTAATGATTCCCGTCGACCAATCAGAGCGCAGAACGACCTTTTCTAAAGGAAATTTACAAATTTCTTTAATATGTGTGGTAAAACATACCTTACAATGTTTTTATACATTCCTGGCAGTAGAGATAACTTATCTTTATTATTTCGAACATTAAACATTCATAAAACTCTTAATTTACGTTTGTAAAAAATAAAAATAGTGGCGCGGTCTTCCTACGGTTTAGCTCCGTAGTAGCTAAACTTTTTCCGCTTAACATACAAGTAGCGCCGCCAGGCGGCAGGAATGCACAATGCTTATCATGATAATATTATGTTTAAGAATCTATACAGAATACATTTTAACTTCTTATTAAATTAAAATCTATTTTATAATAAGAAATTAGATTACAAAAGTGAAATATTGACATATTGTCGTTTTTAATTACTTTAAAAGAAAAGAAATTAAACAAAACATTAAATTTACACTTAAATATTAATATTTCTAACACAGCTCTTTAAATTATAATAAGAGAAAGTTCTAATAAGTAACTAGACATATCTTGTTTCTAACATTCTAATTAAACCTAAATAAGCAATTAGTTTTAATATAATTTAGTAATTCACATTTTCGTTACAGACTTTTGTTACTGGCTTTCGTTACGTAATTTTAGATTGCAAATAAGAATTGAAGCTAGTATAAGTAATTAATTCACTTAATATCATTAACACTATCAGTCTTTACACTTAGTTTTATATCACAAATAAGAACAAATTGAAATTAAATAATTAAATTCACTTGTCGTCGCTAACACAGGGCATTACCATACCATTCCTTACTGTTACATTTTAATTCAAAAACTAGATTTTTTCTCAATACATTTTTCTTTCCCAGTAAAAAAAATCAAATGCTTTCGATTTTTCCGCTGTATATAGTGATTCCATCTTATGTCATAACAAAGTTTGAGAACCACAAACTACATTATTTTGTATCAGGGATACCATCAGATGTCACGAAATGCAAAAACAGAGCATCGTTTGGAATACTTATGTTTCTAGTAAATTACGAATCATATTTACATATATTTGAGCGGTAAAGACAGGACTAATTAATTTTTTGAACTTTCAAATTTAAGTCCGGTCTTACCTCTTAATGGCTAATTCTTCATC